TTTAAAAGGGATAACTTTTTGCATCCACAGATAAGCATCCATTCCCTCTTTTGCAAATTGTTAGAATTACACTTGTTGATTTCCACTGAAGGGATTTTTTTTTAGCCTTTACACATAAAGCTCAGTTTTCTATGAAGCAGAGTGCTTTTATGGCACTCTTCTGTAAAATGGAACTAAAAGAAAAAGGACAAATTACATTATACATTTTGAGTGGGTTAATGTCAGATTAGAGCTGGCAATTATACCTGTGTGGTGCAGAGATTTCATCCATAAAGCCCACTTTACAGTGCTTTTGGGGGTAGTGCGATGTCGTTATCTCTGTAAATGGAATATGTACAATTGAAAGCAAGATAATGATTGGCAGAAAAATGTGCATTTATCCCAGTCATCAGCTTGGAAGTGGAGAATTCTGTGTTTTTAATAAAATCCCCTCAGGCTCTACTGAATACTACCGCTGTTCTAGCTGGCCAGTGCTTTGAAAAGGCAATGTTACACAAATGGGAACTGCCTGCTTTGCCTTCTTATGAATTAGCAGCATGCAGATAAAAAGAAGTTCTCTTTAATGCAAAATGCAACTGGAAGAAGGAAAGACTTTAATAATACCATCTGACATGTGGAACAGTGGCTGGCTGTGCGTATAGTTGTGAGTGTTTATTGGACTGTGACTTTTGTAGAAAGGAGCTGCTGGGCTTTCTTCGAAGTCTGGAAGCTTCCGTCAGTCACATTTTATAGAGCCACCCAAACAATGAGCAAACAAATCGATAACATATCTGCACCATCAGGAGCTGAAATGATCACACCCTCTCTGTAAACCCAATCCAGTCTGACTCACTGTAAACCACCAGGGAAATAGAAAGTCCTCCACCGATATGAATGAAAATGAATGAGAAGAATAGTTTTTTTTCAAGCTGTTCTGAGGTCCTTTACAGTCTGAAGATGCTTTATGTGCACAGGGTTCAAATGTGTTCATATGTAGTGTAGTGAAGTGTTGTGTGCATTCTAAGCCTTACGGAAATAGGAGCTATTGCAGGGCTGTTGCATTGGATTACATTAAATTGCTCAAGTGAAGCTAATATACTGATAACTGTACGTGTGAGTGTAAGTGGTGTTGTTTTAGTTCACTGCCGAAGTAATTTGGCATTTGCAATAATATACAGTATGAGGTATAAAACCCTTTAGGAGATGTTTCTTGTTTTTGTCTCATTTCATATGCGTTTGAGTCATTTTTCAGTTGTCTTTCTCCAAATGATATAGTGCTCCACAAAATGTACGAGAATTCCTTGTAACTAATAGTCCTGCTAAAAGCTAAATATTCAATGGGTATTTTTCATGACGTTATGTGGCTTTTTACTACTAATTTGCTATTCATTTTAAGAGCATGTTGGAAATTGCTTTATGTTTACAAGCCCATAGGTCAGTTTTATTGTTGAAAATTGAAACTAATGAATATGCGAAACAGAGTAAAAAGGTTCTGCACTATATGTCCTTTTATGAGCTCCAGCAACCCCAGAGTTAATGAGGGTGAATACAAGGATGTAATTTGGTATTTAAAATGGACAGATATCTGTTTTATTCAGCTCTTGAATAATATAAAGTGCATTCTGATGAAAGGTTTTTTGTGTTTTGAGTGCATATATTTTGGCTTTATATTAATAGTTTTTATGTTTTTTATTATGCTAGATTATGCTAGAATATATAGTTTCTTTATAAAAAA